TCCTGCTCTTAAAAAAGATCAGAATAGCTCACAATTAGAAATAATGACTCAGACTATGACACTAAAAGCCAGGCAGAAGGAGAATGCACTTTCTAACAAGAGATATAAGCCTTTTTATGTACTATAATTGATCATTAAACTTAGTTCTCTAGGGGCCTCTGGTTGAAAGCGTTTTCTGGTCTACAGGACCAGATGAAGAATTTGCCATTATTCACTGAGCAGACGAAATGTCAGACTCTGCTAATGACCTACTGGGACTATCTTTCCAGTCAACACAACACCCTCTCAGGCATACAATGGCATCCCTGTGTTTTACATGAAGACATTAGGATTCAGAAAGAGTATGCGATTGCTGAAGTTTAAAGAACTAGTTGTAGAACTGAGATTCAAACCATCCCTCTGAATCCACCAAGTTGTTCATAAAGAAACAGAAGATGACGAATAGTTCAATAATACTCGAGCTGGGACTAGGCAACACTGCCAGAATCAGACGGGATTTTGACGAAGTATGAGGCTGAAGGGGCCTGCTGGAAAGCAGGATCAATCTTCTTTATCCCTGCCTCCACACTTTTTCCTGGCAGGGAACCACAGTGATTAATCATGTTGCAGTCATCTGTTTATCACACGGACTTCTGCTTTTTGAAGCAAATAGAGTGCTGTTTTCACTCTAATCCCTTTTGTACTTACATACTACAAATCCCAGAAAACAACTAGGTAAGACATAGGCCTATGAGATTCAGGAAAAGCAATAAAGTTCTCTATGAGAGGAGCAAAATCAGACACAAGACTCAGTGTAGCACGCACTCAGCAGTGTGACTTTCCCTTTTCTCCATCTGAACAGAGTCATGATAGGCACCTGGGGCTGAGGACATGCTATGCTCAGTCCAGTTAAGTATTAGGCTAGAAGCATTGCATTTAATGCTGTCCCTGCTCCACCTGCAGATCTTGGAAGGAGCCTCTATCTCTCTCTCTCTCTCTCTCTCTCTCTCTTTTTTTTTTTTTAAGAGGTTTTTTGCTATACGGCACATGCACTCACCAGAAAGAGAGAAACAGAAAGACAGAAAGTGAGAAATCACCCCCCAGGAGGATGGCCACACTGCAATCCCTTCCCATTCATTCTCCTCGGGATCTTGGGCAAGCATGCACACGTGCCCAGCGTGAGTTTAAGACTCCGAGTCCAGGACTCGAACTGCGGTCAACTACATGGGAGTCCAGCAACATAGCCATTACGCCAACTGCTGGTCCCTCTATCTCTTTTTTTTTCAATGGCAAGTTCTCAAATAAATAGAGGATAGACAAGAGAATGATCCACATGCCCTTGTTTGGTGCAGAGGGGAGAGGAAAGAAAACAGACACTGAACATATAAAAATATATTTCAAAGGAAAAGAATGTGGGTATAATTTTGCTAAAGGTTCAGAAAAGAAATTAATTCTGAAAGCAATTCTTTGTTGGAGTTTTAACCTCTTAAAAGATTTGTGGATGTGACATTTGAAGCTTCCCTAATTAAAGAGTCAAGTCCTCCCTCACTCAGTCACCTCCCACGAAGCTCACAAACTGACAGTCTAGTCCTGTATTTGGAGCTTCCCATCAGTAAATACACACACACACACACACACACACACACACAGCCATAAGTAAAATTTCTAAAGTGTCAATTCTAGTAAAGAATTTCTCTGTTCTTCCCATCCCCAGATGCTGATTTTTCAGAGATAAGTAGGTAGGGGTGGAGCATGGGTTTCTTAAGTTAAGAGGTGTGTGTGTGTGTGTGTGTGTGTGTGTGTGTGTGTATTTTTTACAGAAAGCAAGTAATCACTCCCAGGGGGATAGCCATGCCGCAATCCAATCCCCCCCCCCACTCTCCTCTCAGGATCCTGTGCACACAAGCACACATGCCTGGCATGAGGTTCAAGCCAGGTCCAGAACTCAAACCACGGCTGATCCCATGGGAGTCCAGTGACATGACCATTACACCATCTGCTGGTCCCAATACTTCATTCTTTACTGTGAATGAACAGCCAAGGGTCATCAGACATTTAGGGAAAAGTCTAACATAAAGGCAGGAACCAAAATAAGTAAATAAGAGACAAGAACTTGAATATATACAATGTTTGACTATAAAGTTTCCAAAAAGGATAATTTCAAGTATACTATTCTCAAAGAAAAAAAAAAAAATGATCACCTGTGCCCATTTCCTTAGAATGCTAAAACTTTCGTCTCACAAAAAATAAATTAATCAGAGGCCAGCAGGTGGTTCGGTGGTTAAAGTGCTAGACTCCCACATGGCCGAATGTGATTCTAGTCTTGGACTTAGTGGCTCAAAAATGACACGGGGCATGTGTACATGTGGGCATGCCCAAAATCCTGAGTGGAGAAGGAACTGCAGCATGGCCATTCCCCCCACCCCCTCGAAAGTGATTTCTCACTCTCCTTCTCACCATCTCTCTCTCTAGGATGTGCATGTGTCCTATGGTAAAAACCTAAAAAATAAATATATAAATAGAAAAGAAATTAACAAAGAAAGGGAAATGCATAGTATCATTGGAGGATGAAAGGGAATCTCAAAATGACACCTGAGATCGGGCCAGCAGCTGCTGGAGAAAGACTCAGGGAAAGATACTACTTGGAGCCAGTAGTTTTGCTTTATTATATAAGGTGGAGATGAACACCTAGGGTGGAAAGGATGTGGAAGAATTAGTGGTCAATTAATAGAAAACCGGGGAAATCGGCTGGCCTAT